GCCCTCTCCATGGCAGACAGATGGCTTGGATGGACCTTGGAGGAAGACAGCACGAGGTTCACACTGCTTTCTGCAGGAGCTGGACGACAGCCAGGGTGGATTTTCTCTGCAACACACTATTCCCTGCTTTGGGGCTTCTTAAGCAAAGCTTATCACCATGGTATCTGAAGTGCTGCCGGTACAGGAAAGGCCAAACTGAACATTGTCCAAAATTAAGGGCTTCCTTTAACACTTTTTTGCACCTCTTGCCTCCTTCACTTTTTCCTTCCTTTGTCCTCCCATTTGTTTGCCTTTTACTCCCCAGATGGTTAAAGTGGTACATTGGCTGATGGACGTTACTATTGCTAGCAGCAAATGAGAAAAGTGCAAAGCAGACTCTCCCCAGGTTCTTAAATGTCACTGTGTAATAAAAAAAAAAAGTATCGCTACTCTCAGAAATACTAGCCTCCAATCATACCCTCTCATGAAAACACCAGTGAGGCAGAATGTAAAATAAACAAATAAATAAAAATAAAATAAGTTGCATGTCCAGCCTCCCTGAGATGCAGTTACCTCTCTGGTTTGGGAACTCTCCTTCTCCCGCCTTCCCAGGGGAAGGTGCAGCCCACAGCACTCCCAGATGAGGCTGAGGCACCAGGGCTCTGTCCCCGCAGGCCCGGACAGGGTGTCCCAATCATCCACTTACATGGATACACATACAAGTAAACACACACATGACTTCTGGTGACACTTGATCTTCTCCAATACTTCCTAGTGTTTGGGTGGTTGATCTTCATGTTGATGTTGTTTATAAAAGTTGATTTCAAAGTCAATTTTATTGCTAGAGGGTATTTACATAGAAAGTATTTAAATTAGTGGGATTTTAATCCAGCAGGTAATACATGCATAACATCTTCTACTGCACTTAAGCAATTTACACATCTAAGACTGGATACTTGTCACATGCCCAGTAATGAGAAATACTTTGTAACAGACACAGAAATGCAAAGATGCCAAAGAATAAAAATAGCAAAAGAATGTAAGGATACAGGATCAGGAGTAAGAAAGTAGCCACTACCTCCTTAAATCATTCTAATAACTAAAACTGAAACATCTTTATAACAGGAAAGTTGGGTTATATTGTTTAAATTGAGGTCAAATTGAATCAAATCATGGTTATTAGATTATCAGATACAGCTCAGTAAAATCCGAGCATTTGACAAGTTGGTCGTTTTTCAGGCTTTGTTCATTCTGCTGCAGCACAAGAAGACAAATCAAGTGATATTTTCGAACAAAGAAGTCTCCACAATTGGAAATGTGTTACATTGTGGTTTTGAAATAGTTGAAGCTTAAGCCTTAGACTACTAAGGTAGCAACAGGTGGGAGCAGGAGAGGAAAGTGGTGATTTGGAAAAAGATTTTTCCTCCCTCCTTTAAAGCAAACATTTCTATCATCGGATACCAAATAATGCTTGCATGGACTTTAACGGTCACTCAAGCAAGTGATTTTTGCCTCGATTTTTTTTTATGCTGTTTTCATATTATTAAATTACAGGCTTTTAAAAAAATATATAAATGAATTTTGTAAATTTTGACAATACTGTCCAGTAAGCTGAACTTAGTGAACAGTTTAAATAGCTCACAGCTAACAAGCAATGTAAATAGTTTTGCCAAGGTCAAGCAGCTGTATCAGGTTTCATAGTACCATTTGTCAGTGCCAAATCCATAGGCAGCATTTAAATAAATCATTAGTAATGGTCACTCCTAGAAAGTAAATAAATAAATAAATACTATTTTAAGCTCTCAGAATCAAGTTATTCTCACAATTTCTGCAAGTGTGTTCCAGAATTGACACCAAAACCTGCCCAGAAAGCAAACCTGGAAATCTGTGCTTCCAACCACATGAGGACTGAGTCCTATCATAAAATGCTTTACAAAAAGGCAAATGAGTATTAAAATACCCCTTTCGCAGACAAGAAGCATGTGTGTGCGCATGCATGGGTGCATGTGGGGAGGGCTTTTGTTGTCGTTTTGTAACTCCTGCTTCATATGTTCCAAGCTCCTGCCATACTAACCCTCCTACAAATGTGCCCTGAAGCTCCGACGGAAGCAGAAATGCAGGAAAATGACACCAGACCCTCGCAAAATGAAGATCCCCAAATCACACTGCCTGACCACCGCACAAAGCACATGGGTGTGCGCAACACACACTGAAACCCCAGGACACAGTGATGCTGGGAGCTCCATTTTCCTCTCACAAACACTTCTCTGAGTCTGAAATAACTTAACTGAAGTTGCAAAAGCAGAGCCAGGGCACTGCGCTGCGCAGGCCCCTGCACCCAGCTGCACGGAGCAGCCCCGGCGGGCACCCAGCGCCCCACGTGCAGGCAGAGCTCCCCGCACGCGTCCCGCCGGCACGACAGGCCCGAGCACTCCGAGCAAAGAGCTCTGGGCTGCAGCGGATTTGCAAGCGGAGGAACTTCCACCTCGTCCTGCCCGAGCCTGGCTGGACTTCTCAGCTGAGCTGTTCTGCCAGTGCAGAAACAGTTAATAATGATGGTAACAAAAATATTTGCATTAAGGGACACCCATGGAAGATGATTAGGGCAAGTTTCCTTACACAGGTTTTCCTGCCCATCTACAGGGTCTACCCCTGAGTCTATCTCAGCCAGATTTTGATGCTTCTTATTACAATTCCTAGGACAATTTCTGTTTTAATATTTTTAACTACAAGTTACACAATTATGAAGCAGGTGAGCCCCTGGCAATTATGAAATGAAACACTGGGACATATTCACTTATATCCTCTTTCTCCTCCAACACCTTTACTTCTATTCAGTACTTCTGGGTATCAAGTTCAGACACATCCACTGTGTTTTAATTCTGTATTTATCTATATAGTCTCAAATTTTGTCCCTTTGACAATAACATACACAAATCCACAGTGGGAGCTTGCAGTTAGATGTGGCATGAGTAAGCGCAGAAATTAGAGAATGATTCTTTGCCACAGTGGGGTGAGGAGAGGCAAAGAACAGAAAAGGTGTAAGATAACATAATAGGATAAAAATACAGCAAATTAAACGTGTGGGTTTGGAATCCCCCAAGACATCGCCTTCCATTCTGGTCGAGAGGATCCCAAATTTATATATAGTTCAAGCTGAAAGAGCAGTATTACAATCGCTTTCCTAGTATTCACAAACGGCTCTAACGCCAGCGACGGGGTTTTGTCCTCTTGCTAAAGTTAGCAGATACAGAAAACGTGCAAACGGTGTTCGCAGAGATCACAGGGAGGTCTCCAGCAGGCATCACCCGCGATCAAACATTTCTTACACGGGAAAAGAAAAAAAAGGGGGTGGGCGGCTGGGTATGCGCAGGCACTCGCGTGCCGGGAGCTCGTGGCAGCTTCGGGGAGCTCCGGGCTCCCAGCCCCAGCACGGCCCCAGCGCCCCGGTCC